AGTTATACACTCTAGATGCAAACCATAAGAGTATTTTTCAACCCTATATTACTTATAAAAAAAAAAAAAGAAGAGAGAGACAAACTAGTTATTTCACATTTAATTAGTTTTTTACCTATTTTTTTATTCAGTTATAAAGGAACATTTTAGTCTTTTCAGTATTTAGGTTATTGTTTGCACCCAAATTGAATGTTAGGGTCTTTTTAGAATGTTTAGAGGGTTCTACACTCTATATACATACCATGGGGTGTTTTTTGCTCACAACTCATATTAGTATTAAACTAACATATATGTATTTTTTAACTTACATATGAATTAAAAAAATATATAATTGGAACAATTCAAGATATATATATATATATGCAGCATAAAAAATAAAAAGTTCTCTAAAAATGAAAATTTTGACACATTTAGCTGAGAGAATCAGGTAAATTAATGCTTATAATTCCTTGATGTACATTAACAAAATTAAATATAATTACAGAAATATGAAACGATCAATTAGATATGATCATCATTTTTTTTTTTCCCACATATATATCATAAGAGTACTACTATTTATTACGACACATAACTATTACAACACTTACAAGCAAGTTATGATACATTTCAAGTGGTGCAACAGTTTACCTGTTGTAACAAAATATAATTTTTCTTATCATAAATATTCAGCACTAGGTGCAATTAATATAAAAAGTGAATGGTAAATTTATGAATTTTATCAAATATGTCATAAGATTGAACAACATGATCCTGATACGATATGGTTTTTATTATGGAGTTTACTAAAAAGCACGAGGTGCGACTTTTTATAAGCTTGGCTGAATTCTAAGTTGAGGCACTCCAACTAAATCATGACGTCTTTGAAAATTTTTTGGACTTTAAGCTCACGTTTAACGACTATGCCCTTGCAAATTTTTTTTCTTCTCCAGAGTAGACGGGACATGAATGAAAGTAATTTATAAAGTATTAAATTAATGAAGGATTAGCAGGATCCATCATAATTGTCCTAATTTGAGAGGATGATGTAATGAAAACAATGTAAAAGCAAAAGCTAAAAGACTTTTGTATTTAAAATTTTATTACTGTTGAGAAAGAAAGTTAATTTTACTGATCCACTTGAATTTTTCCTTAAATAAATGAAATAACACAATCATCACTAAGTGGGTTGCAAGATACCCTTTTTTATTTTTATTTTTATTTTGGAGAATCCCAGTGGTCCAGTATAAAAGTGTAAAAGTTCTTTCGAAAGACAATATTTTCATAAATAAAAATAAATAAATAAAAAGTGGAACAAAAGAATATAAAAATGGAGGTTGAATATGGTTTTCCTTTATATTTTTTCAGGGACATTGAATTTGAGACAAGTGGAACTTAAAAAACTTTATTGCTAGAGCTGGTTGCTATACAATGATGATCCAATCTCTATGGATGGTTATCAAAGCAGCCAAGCTACTTATAGGATTTTTATTCTGTGTTATTTATTTATTATTATTATTTTGGATTGGTGGATGCAATAATATGCATTGATGTTGCCTTTATTATTATTATTATTTATTTATTTTTATGGCAAGAATGTTAAGAATTAGAGGAGAGGAGAGGAGAGGAGAGGAGAGGTTACAAAACTCGAATACAGGCTTTTGAACATGGGGAGCAATCTAATAACTCGAACAACACGACTACACTCGCATATATTAATATTATCTGTTTGTGAATGGTCAATCTTGGCATGCGCGTCTCTTTATTCTCCAAGTAAAATTTTCAACCTTGGCATGCTTGCTATCCATTAATGTTATCCATTATGTTACAACTCCTTTCCCCTTGGTTCAACAATATTAACATTGCATGATGGCTCCCCAAGCTCATATCTAATTTGATCTTACTTTCTTTTTATGTCCCATTTTCTTAAAAATTCTCTCATTTACTTACCCAAAATAGAAAAAAGCAAGTAGAGAAAATTATAGTTTGACAACGTATCATTTATAGATAGAATATGTAGGGCATAAAGTACAAAATGATAGAACAGTGTTGTAAAAGTAATACACCAAGCTCTTGACAGAGAATTGGGAAAAGAAAAAAGAAACAGTGGAGAACCCAACCAAGGGTCGTTGTAATCATCAATCAACCAAACATTTTATGTCATGTGTTGCACAATAAGCAATCATCACTCAACCAAAAATTATATGTCATGTGTTGCACAAGGGAGTGTGTGTATTGTAAGGCCCGAACCATCCTATCTAATTCCAAATTTATCATTAAAGGCTCGAACTTAGTGATATCTGTTTTATTTTTTACTTAAGCTATTAAGTAGCGTAAAGTCAAAAAATTTCATTCGGATTTGATAGGACAAGAACCCTTTACCAATAAACTCCCAAACTTATGCACTAGACTGTCCATAAATACACTCACTCTGGAATTCAGATCTCTCTTAGTGTAATTTTATTTTAGTACAGTCTAGTAAATTTAAATTATTTATATTGACAAAACAACGGTTACACAATAACTTCAAATCAACGAGTAATAATTTTTATTAACAACGAAGCAACTAATAAGTAGACCATGTTTGGTAATGCTGTCATTTTTAGTTTTCTGCTGCCACTTAAAAAAAACTGAGAATCGGCAACAAAAATCGCCTTTGGTGACCACAATTTGCTTTTCGATTTAAGAAAAAAAAAAAATCAAAACAAATTGCCATTTTTTTGGGCAATAATTTGGTGCTGCAAGAACCTTTCCGTTTTAAGTTGCACCGTACAAGTTCCCCCTTTTTACCGAAACGTAAATAAATATAAACAAACAGTAACATTATCGAATAGGGCTTAAAGGAGGGAGTTTTATTAATATTGTAGCATGTAAGGGTGACATTTGATTTGCTAATTAGCGAGTTCGGTCCGATTCGATCTGTGAATCATATTGGATTGTTAGATTTGCGGATTGGGGTGAATTCAATAATATAGAATTCGTAATTCGTGAATTTGGGTGAATTCAATTATATAGAATTGGATTATATATTGAACTGTTAAAAATTCGATTTAAACTGATTCGTAAAATTTATACATATTCTCTGTGCTATAATATTTGTCTACTTTGAAAACTGAAACTTTAAATATATGAATTAATATTAATAAATTAAAAATTTATCAAAAATAATATTGAGTTGTTTTAGAAAATACAAATTTGTGAATCCAATTCAATCCGTTATCCATTATCCCACGTATTAGTAAAGAATTCACATTTTTTCAATTTATTAGGAGTGAGTTAAATTAGAATTAAGGATTAATTACAATGACACCCTCTGAGGTTTGTCATAATGACAGTTATATACAAGTTAACCTCTTTTTGAACAATAAGACCCCCTCAAGTTTGATAAAGTTAACAAAGACACCACAGACAAGCTAAAATGACCTTAATGCCCTTTCACTTATGAATTAACCCTTTTGAATTATAAAATTACCTTTTTAACCTTTCTAATCATTTGAATTGACCAATTTAACCCTCAAACCAATCTACGGTCCCAGACAATCCTAGCCACACATATAAGAAAATATGTTTTCAGCATTTTACACATCTTCGCCATCTATGTTCTCTCTTCTCCCAACTTCCTCTGTACACTCTCATTGGGTTCAAGACTCTGATTTAATCAGCTCTGCGATCATGGATTCTTCATTAGACTCTCAGTTCATATCCCTATCGTCAACGGCATCAACCTTCCATCATCTCCATCCTCCAAGAACCCCTCAAGCAGCTCCTTCTTGGTCGACGCCCCGACTGCCTCTTCATCGACACATTTCACCGCAGGTCCGGTGGTTCCCCGACATCGTTGGCGCCATCGGCGTCTCTCGAATCATCTTCAACGGCAGTTGTTGCTTCGCTCGTGCCTGCGTAGGCGAAGGTTGAGTTGTTGGCGGCGGCGGTGAACCCCCAAATTGAGGCGTGGTTGCCCACGGCAGATCACGAGGTCATTACGGAGACAAAAGTCATCGCTAAGAGATCCGGTGAGTTGAAGAACGAGATCCTTCCTGATGCTGACCTAGCACTGGTTGCAACAACACCGCCGGCCGCTTATCCTGCAACATCGGCGGCCGCCTCGAGTGCATCGGCCTCAGCGGCGCCACCCTCACCCATACCACAAGTGTATCAAGTGACCAAATAATTTTTTCCCTTTCTTCCCAAGTTCTCTCCATCCTCCCAAAAGCACCTACCATACCACCGCTACCCACAGCCACATCTACCACTTTTCTTTATATATATATATATATATAACCCTAGATGCCGTCGACGTCGCAAAATGCATCATCACCGTGTCATCCCGCTGCTAGCTAGTCACCATCATCGGAACCTAATCTCGTCGCCATGGTCGTCACCATCACCGGAGCCCAAGATAAAGACTTGCAGAAGTTCCAAACAATCTAATCTTCTCTCATCTCGAGCGATCTCATGAACTATGAATGTCTTCATCAAAATTTTGAATCCAAAGGTTGTGGGTGAAGAGGTGGTGGTCGGGTGGCGGCTGTGATGGTGAGTGATCCGGTGGGTTTGGGTAGACAGAAGATGACGAGGAAAGACAAAATGGGTGACTGGTATTGATTTCACACAAAGGGCAATTTGGTCTTTAAAGAATTTTGATATTTTCTCATTAATAGTAATAAAATATTAAAGGACAATTTCAACTTTTCATAACCTTTTAGGGATTGTGTGGATGAAATTTTTGATATGATGACGTTATTATTTAAAAAAAAATCAATTTGTATATTCTAACAATATATTAAATTTCAGGAGATGTGATTGTAATTATCCTGGAACACAATATATTACATAAATGTTGTATCTATTATTTAAACATGATGACAATGAAAGTAAACGGTCCACTCACACACTCACTCATACCTATGCAAATGAAATTGGAATCTTGTAATGTGTAGCGTGGCGGCATCCGAAAAAAAGGGGGGACCACGGGAGAAAAGTTAGGATAGTGCTGCACTATTTAATACACATCGTCCCCGTCGTCACCATCATCGCTCCTTCCACAACCGAGCTAGGAAAAGAAAGCAGCAATTGCTTTCTCTCTCTAGACCCGCCTATTCAATTTTGTGGCATCCGCAAAAAGTCTGAAACCCACTACGCCAATCGATTCCAAACACAATAAGCCCTAGAAAATTCCACTCTCATACAACCAGGTGAGGCCTCTGTTTCTGTACCCACAATAATAATCCCATCTCATCTTACAGATTTTTTGCAAGGTCACTTTGATTTACACTTGTGCTTGTGTTATATATCTTCATTTATCTCTGATTTTCTGTTTTCCATCTCCATTTCCTGTTAATTTTGCATCATATTTATGTGGTGTTCATGATTTTCCCAGTTTTTAGATTTTTTTCTACAAGTTTCTATTGTATCTCTGATTAATTGCATGTATGTATATATATATCTATATATATATATATATATATATATATATATAAATGACTAATTTACTCATTTTATAATTATCTTTGTTCCTTCACTGACTTACATGTTTATTATCCTTTATTGGGTCTGTTCCATTTGAGTTGGTTTATCAAAATTTTTACTTTCTCATTGAGAATTAGTAGAACAGACGCAATTAGTTGAGTTCTCTAGCTAATTTGATGAGTAATTTACTAATGGGTGGGAGGGGATTTCAATTTGTCCCTTCCCCTGTGAACCTGTATGCTGGGTGTTGGTGATTTTTGGTGGTTAATTTTTGCTGTAAGTGTGAGGTTATTTGTTTTATTTTTCAGGGGACCTCATGGCGCTCATATCTCGGGCAGGTCCATCGTGCTGCATTCGTACCGAGACTGTACAATGTAAAGCTGGACATAGTGTGGCCTTTAACATGGTAAACAATATGGAGATATCCAAATTGAAGGAACCTTGCATTGGCTTGCCTTCTTTATCATGGAGTTCCACAAAGACAATGCAGGGTTTGCATTTAGATAGTGCTCGAGGGGGATGCAAACGAGGGCATCGTGCAATTGTCGCTGCAAGCCCTCCTACGGAGGATGCTGTAATTGCTACAGAACCACTGACAAAAAAGGACCTTGTGGCATACCTTGCTTCTGGGTGCAAGACTAAGGAGAATTGGAGGTTCAACTTCTAGCTCTTTTCGGTACTCAGATTTGAATAACATATAATTTGCCATATATTTTACTTACAGATGCTTTGATCATTTATCTTTTAGTCAAATCACCGTTGGAACTTACATGATCATAATTTTGTTTCATAATTCTTGAGCTTTAAAGAATATGATTGGGTTAAAAAATGTGCATGAGTTGAAAGAATATATATGTATTTCTTAAAGTTTTGAACTGCCAGAAATTTTTACTTTTGGTGTTAACTTTGTCCGAATGAGTTGAAAGAGGTGTTTTGGCGGCAGCATGTACTTGCTCTATATTGTAATAAAAAATAAAATAAAATAAACTGGAATCCCACTGATTGATTCAATTCAGGTTTCTTCTGGAATCGCACCAGCTCCAATTCTATTTCTTCTTTTCTTTTACTATGTGATAAGGATTCCACATCCACTGTTTGGTTGCACAGAACATTTTTCAGATTTATATTACTTCCAACCAATCAATTCCTTTTCTTTCTTCAATCATCTTGTGAAATATTGACTCAAATCATGTGGATTCACAGAATAGGTACAGAGCATGAAAAGTTTGGTTTTGAAATTGATACTTTACGCCCCATGAAGTATGAACAAATAGCAGATTTGCTCTATGGTATTTCTGAGAGATTTGAATGGGATAAAATAATGGAGGGTGACAAAATTATCGGACTCAAACAGGTACACTGCTTCTTCAGTTGTGTTTGTTAATAACAAACTGCTTCTCTAAATATATAGTACTTTTCCTTTTCCTATATTACGTTGGTATGAATGGTGATGCTTGACGCCTTGGTTGGAAACTATTCCATTCTTTTTCTTTTCAAATACATTTCCACTGAAGTAACTTTCAAGAAAATTTGGTTTCCTATTTTTCGTGTATTTCTATAGAGAAAATTTATATTACCATTTGGGCAGGGGAAACAAAGCATATCATTGGAACCTGGAGGTCAATTCGAGCTTAGTGGAGCACCTCTTGAGACTTTGCATCAAACTTGTGCTGAGGTCAATTCACACCTTTATCAGGTTTGTCTGAAACTTTTAGTATATGGACTAATGTACAAGGTTGTTTTCAAGTGTTTGTTTATTTTTTTATTTATGAGAAAATGAATATGATGTTAAGGAAGAGTAAATTTTTAGAAAATGCATGCCTGCATGTTTGTGCAGCTGTTTTTGTTCGTTTAAAGAGTTTTATGGGAGAAGTTTATATATATATATATATATATATATATATATATATTAATAAAAAAACATTTTCTCATTGTAGTCGTAGGTGACAGACTTTACAATCGGAGCTACTGAAGTTGGCTTAATATTTGTAAAGGTTTACTGGTTGCAGAAATTATGTGAATAAATTGAAGTTGGGTCTGAGTTTGGCTGATTCTGCAAATGAATTTCCTACCTTACCAATGGCATTGTAGCCTTATGGTATCTTCTCTACCTTCCAAAGCGGAAGGTGAGGGTTCAAGTCCCATAGGGGAAAATGGGTGTGTGAGTTTTGTGCCAAGGAAAAAAATAAAATAAACATTCCTACCTTTGGTCATTTGAGTTCGGATTATAAATGGAAGCTTGTATTGACTGAAACAGATTAATCTCTTGTCCAAATTACTAGTAACGGTGGATGGGGTTGGACTCAAAGGTATTTGGGTGCCTTTGTACTTGTACAACCCAGTTTTAAGTTTAACCCATCAAGTCTCCTTTCTCGGTGGTGTTTGTTTTCTTTGGCATGCGTTCTCCCTTTTGGATGCGTTGGACTTTCCTGATTCATTTTTAATTTTTTTGTGGTCCTTAAAATATGTTATTCCACTTTCATTTGTCTAATTAGTACTTGGTACTTTTAGGTTGAGCTTTGAATTTTGCTATTTCTGTTTTAAAACACCAGGTTTTTTTCATTAATATTTTCATTAATATTTTTGATTATTTTGTATTCATTCATTCAGGATCAAACTAAGGTTTGAGTTAAAAATATATAAATGCTGTTGAACTTAGCACTTGCCTTTACATGATACTACTGAACAGGTTAAAGCTGTTGCTGAGGAAATGGGAATCGGATTCTTAGGAATTGGTTTCCAGCCCAAATGGGGAGTGAAAGACATACCTATAATGCCTAAGGTATAATTTTCCAAATGTTATATTATTCCATCTGTAGTGTCTCACTATTTAGTTTCCTATCATAAATATTTGCTCTTTTAGCATTCTTTTGTCGTCTTTAGTTCCTTTGTCACTAGAATGTGTTTAATATCGTCACTTATTGAAATAGTAATTAAAAAATTATAAAGTGTTTCATATCATTGCAAATTTGCCCCTCACAATCTGTAACACCTTTGACTCCTGAACTGGTTTCTGTTTGATTGTAATGTTTCAGAGTCTGTATACACATTTGATAATCAAGCACATAAAATGGTCTGTGGTAACGGGGTCATTAATTATATACTTGCCAATATTTAATGGAGTGCACAGCCTTAGGTTGATGGAGAAAATAGGATTAGTGCGGATAAGCCTTAATCGTGATGTCTTATATGCCATGCAAACCTAGGATCACCAGTATTCACAACCCAACATCTATTGATTGTAAACAAGTGAGATTTACTTGTGAAAAAATATTAGCTTGAAATATTACCATGTTCCAAACAATGATAAAACATTTAATTTAACCGTTATAGTGTTTTCTCTCACCATAATTCTATTTTAACTTTTTTGAACTTCAATAAAAGGTATACTGACAGATTATTTTGTCTCAGGGAAGATATGAGATTATGAGGAACTACATGCCAAAGGTTGGCTCTCTTGGACTTGATATGATGTTTCGGACATGCACTGTTCAGGTGAGGAAAGTAAAATGATTTTGATGATCTATACATTTCAAATTTGACTCCGGGAAGGCTACTTTCGGTGATCTTATCCCTTGTTTTTTGAAAAGGATTTTCTAAACCCATTTCTATCATTGATGTTCTATATGGAAAGTTTTAGATATCTTCAGGTGAGGAAAATAAAATAATTTTGATGATCTATACATTTCAAATTTGACTCCGGGAAGGCTACTTTCGGTGATCTTATCCCTTGTTTTTTGAAAAGGATTTTCTAAATCCATTTCTATCATGATGTTCTATATGGAAAGTTTTAGATATCAATTTTTGGCTTTGATAGGTTAATCTGGACTTCAGTTCTGAAGCTGACATGATCAGGAAATTTCGTGCTGGTCTTGCTTTGCAGCCTGTAAGAAGCCTTTTGTCTTTTCAGCTCTTACTAGAAATTTATTTGTTTCTACGGAATCTAACTCGTGGTAAATGAAATAGATTGCAACAGCGCTATTTGCCAATTCACCTTTCACTGAAGGAAAACCAAATGGTTATCTTAGCATGAGAAGGTCTTTGTTTTGTCTATGAAAATAAAAACCTTTTATATATTTCACTAGGTTTTATATATTAATTCTTTTTTTTTTTTTTGCCCTTTTTGTTTCACCAGCCAAATTTGGACTGATACCGATAAGAACCGCAGTGGCATGATTCCCTTTGTTTTTGATGACTCCTTTGGGTAAGTTAACAATTTTGTTTGTGATTAAAATAAATATATAAAAATAAATAAAAAATGAATTGTGTTCAACTCCATCTCCATGTGCCATTTTGGAAAATGATTTACTAAAATCATGTTAGCAGATAATTTAGCAAAAAACCATCAACAACATGTGCTAATAAATATCTGATTAAAGATTTTTTTTGTGCATCATTTATAGAGTGTAAAGTAGGACATATTGATCATTATTGTATATAAAAATAAAATATAATAGTTTATATCTTTCCATTCTTGCCTGGATAATAGTTTATCAAAAACTAGAAAAGATTGATTTTGGATCAATTAATAAAAAATCTTTACATTTTCTATACATCTTCTTTAATTTCTTCTTCAGCAAAATTTGTTCGCATAAAGATGAATATTCTTTTACAACTTCTTTTTTTTCTTTACAACTTCTCATGGACAAAGTTTTATATATATATCTTGAGGAATCTGTTGACGTAGATTAGATAATGACTACAGTGACAATCCCTTGACAATCCCTTTCTGGGCACAGGTTTGAGCAGTATGTAGATTATGCTCTAGATGTTCCAATGTATTTTGTCTATCGAAACAAGAAGTACATTGATTGTGCTGGACTGTCCTTCCGGGTATCCATCTATCCTTGCAGTTTCTCTTGCTTATCTTCTTTTTTTTTTTGTGGGCTGCAACTTTTCTTTTTTTGCTTAATCATTAGAGCAGTCTTTAAAATATATATATATATATTTGGCATATAATACTCATGTAGTTGTATAATATTTTTGCAGGATTTCATGGCAGGAAAACTCCCTTCTATTCCAGGTGAATTGCCTACGTACAATGATTGGGAGAATCACCTGACAACAATATTTCCCGAGGTTTATTAAATGCATCTGAAATTGATTGGCGGATTTCTGAATTCTCAGTACATTGCTTAATTAGTCTTGTGTTCCTCTTCCATTCAGGTCAGGCTGAAAAGATACCTGGAGATGAGGGGCGCTGATGGAGGACCTTGGAGGAGGTTATGTGCATTGCCTGCGTTTTGGGTATTTGGCCTTTCTGATTTCTCTATGTTTAAATCAGCCAAATTCTTCAACTAAATAAACATTAGTTTCCTGAGAATTCTTCAAAACAGAACACAACAGAATTTACAGATGCATAAATGAACGTTGTAGTGATGTTTGTGCCTTTCTACCGTGCTTAACAGCTATGTAGCATATGTTTTGTATAAGTTTGGGGGGTGTTGTGTCTACTTTCATTTTTGAGACAATTTTCTTGTAAGTGCATAAAAATAACGTGTGATACACTTATTGGACTTCTTTACCTTTTACCGGATTCCTTTCATCATCTGATTTAAATTTGTAGACCGACATCATCTATCTTATTGCCACCTGTGTTTAGTTTTGTGTAAATTATGTTATATTTTCTTCATTCCAGCTATAGAAATTACCCTGATGTTATATTTGAATTTCAGGTGGGTCTGTTATATGATGAAATTTCTCTACAAAATGTACTAGACATAATTGCTGATTGGACCACAGAAGAAAGAGAAATGTTGAGGAATAAGGTAATATAAAAGCTATAGACAAGCTAAAGCTGGCGTGAGGATGATTTGCATCTATTTATTCTACTTTTTGGTCCACACTGTAATGAAATCTGGTTAAAATGGTTGCTACAGAAACACATTGTACATTACCTTACACCTTAAATTATTATTATTTTTTATAAGTAAGATTTTATTAAAAACGCTCAAAAGGGGAGCAAAGCCCAAAGAAACAAAAGGGCCAAGGGGTGCCTTAGACCTTCAAAGAGGCCAAGAAAACAATAATTTCCTCCATAGATCTATAATCTCTCCCTGAAACCCAACAAAAAAGAGTAGAAATAACAGAGAACTTAAGCATAGAAACAGGCTTCTTTTTTCTGTCAAAATATCTCCTATTTTTCTCAAGCCAAATACACCACCAGATACAAAGCGGCGTAGCCCTCCAAGCATCTTTAATGCCAGCCCCAACAGAGACGCCTCTCCAAGCCTCAATCAACCCTCTAGAGGAAGAAGGCATGGCCCAATGGACCCCAAATAATCGAAGCATCAAATCCCAACAATCTCTGGCCATGCTGCAATGTAAAAAGAGGTGATCAACAGACTCCTCATTACACAAACACATGTAACAGTGATTGACCACCACTTGATTCCTCCTCCTCAGATTATCCTGGGTTAAAATCTTATCCAGGACAGAGGTCCAAGCAAAAAAGGCGACCTTGCGGGGAGCCTTGGACCGCCAAATAGACTTCCAAGGGAAGGGATCTCCATGACCAACCGAAAGGCATCTGAAAAAGGACCTAAATTCAAAACGGCCTTGCGAGTTAGGAATCCGGAACCACCAATCCGATTCCCCAAAAGAAATCACCTGGCTATACAATAGCTTTAGAAAACGAGAAACATCATCGATCTCCCAATCCTGAAAATGCCTCCTGAAACGAACATCCCAAGACAGTCTCCCATTATCAAGATGATAATAGTCAGCAACCATGGCCTGTCGATGAGAAGCTATCCTATAAAGCCGTGGGAACGCGAGAGCAAGAGGGAGTTCCCCACACCAGAGATCCTTCCAAAAACTGATCCTCCTTCCATCTTTAATACGAAAACGAACATGCTTGCAGAAGTCATCCCAACCCCTCCGAATGAAATGCCAAACTCCCACCCCCCTTGGACCACGCGTCGCCAGAGAGCACCACCCACCACGACTTTCCCCAAATTTGCTAGCAATAACTTTCCTCCATAACCAATGCCTCTCGATCCCAAACCTCCAGAGCCATTTACCAAGGAAAGCCTTATTAAAAGGCAACAACCTCCGAAACCCTAAGCCTCGAAACCGAATTGGACGGCACACTTGATCCCGCTGAACCAAGTGAAACTTGAACTCCCCCCCCCCAAAAGAAAGTTGCACTGCAATCTTTCAATTCTCTCCGCCACTGAAGAAGGAATCTGAAACAGAGATAAGAAGTATGTAGGAAGGCTAGAAAGGGTGCTCTTAATCAGGGTAACCTGACCCCCCTTGGACAGGTACTGCTTTTTCCAACCCGCCAACCTCCTCTCGAATCTGTCCACTACCGGATCCCAGCTCCCACACATCTCGAAGGGGCACCCAAAGGCAATCCTAAATAAGAAATGGGAAAAGAGCCAGTGCAACATCCAATTACACCTTAAATTTTCCTGGCAGTCTTATATATCGAATGCTTCGTGTTGCACTTCCTGGTGTTGGAGTTGAGGAGTTGGGAAAAGGTTTATTTGAATTGAACTGAGTTCGGTTGAGCTGTCAAGGATTTAGAGATGATTATCAGGAATGAAGCTCAAACAATAATTTAATCTTTTTAGAGGCTTACCTATTCTTGTTTCTCAGGCTACAATTTTGTGGATGACAGAAACCTTCACTTAATAAAATGTCGTCTTCATACAATTATCTCCATTGAAAATTTTCCTGTGAAATTCACATGCAGATGTAATAAACATTCTGTATCAATAACATCCTACTTTCGTGCTATGCACCAGTAATTTCCATCACTATATATATTAGTAACTGTGGTGTAAACAAATGATCAATGATTGACTGAAACTGAAGATGCCTTGCATACTTTAAATTTATTATTATAATGTTGATATAAAGACTACAAACATCAATTTTTTTTTTTTTGTTTGGCAACAAAGATGGCAATCTAATTCCATAATTGTTTACTAGGTACCAATTACTGGTCTAAAGACACCATTTCGAGATGGATTGCTGAAACATATTGCTGAGGATGTTGTGAAGTTCGCAAAGGTGACTTGGAAGTTACTATTGCACTTTCTTCTTGTTCTTTGTTTTCTAATGACAATGGTGGTGATGATTATGATATAACAATTCATCTGTTCTTTATGCAGGATGGCTTGGAAAGGCGAGGCTATAAGGAAACTGGATTCTTGAATGAAGTAACTGAGGTGGTTAGAACAGGTACAGATCAAGTTTATTTTTTTCATCTATTTATCCTCTATTATCTTGGGCTCTGACTGGGTGCCTGGGATGGGGTGGGGGAATCAATAATTCATGAAGTTCTAAGACATGGGAAAGAAGTGATCAGCTGAGTTTTGTTTTCGATTTATTTTTTGTTTTTTGTCAGTTAGAGATCTACAAAACTTTTCCTTCCAATCCATGCTTCCTAATGTAAAACTGGATCACATGATACATCAAAATCCTTCACAGCTCTAATGTCAATTGTTACTTTGAAAATTAGAAAAACACCTACTTTAAAAAGCTTAGGACAAATGATGAATTTAGTTATGTAAGACATATTGTGAACTTCAAACAGAACTTCTAGACATTCATATAGTTATCACTATGATAAGTTAGGCAATTCCGGTAGTTCTCTAGCCTCAGCTAACAGTTCTCTTGTTTGCTTGCGTTGTTATCTGTTCTTTGCCCTCTCTTTAGCTTTTGTTTTTCTGGTTGGTTTTGCATTTTCCTTGGCAGGTAAATAGTAAAAATAAAATAATATTTGAATATGGTATATAGTTTGAATATAACTTGAAAAAGGCTTCAATTCTTCAAATCATTAAAATATAAGAAAAATTTAGGTAAGACAAAGAAATAGTGAAATACAGGGGGGAAAAAAAAAACAGAAAAGAAAAAAAGAAAAGCTTAGATTTAGAAGGAAAAACAGAGTGTTCTTGATTTTGAGTGCTGATAATTAGGATAAGCCACCTTAGCTCAACAACTCAATACAAGAGAAAAGTAATGTTGAAAAGATTAACTTATTGTCTGTGTGCCATTACACCATAATTATTAGAATTTCTGGGAACAGGGTTGTTACTGAATCATAGTTGTTTGTACTTTTATGATATGATTTCTTTTAGGTTGGCAATAAATGAACACACATTGGGCCATAACTGAGTGTTCTTGAATGTGGTATATTAGAGGGTGTCTAACCTTGAATCATTCTGGATCAAGGTGGGCCAAACCGCCTTTGAACTGACAGGTTTACATTATAAACATCTTGGTTGACTGGTTCAACCTAGTACTTAGTGGTTCCAGCCTTCCAGGTTGACTGTAAGACTTAATGCCTCATAATATGTGAATTCAAATATATAGGAAGCCCAAGGAATTTCGGAACAGAATTAATTTTCCCTCTTTTGCAAAATGAAAATGGATCTACACATCATATGTCCTACCTACTTGGGGTGCTGGAATGGGAAGACTGGAGATGGACCTAATCTTTCACTTTATTTTGCTCAAAATGGATGCTCTCAAGACTTGAACTCACTTGTATGTTAGCATTTACGAAGTTGAAATGCTAATATAAATTCTAAAATTGAATTTTTTTAGAAAAAAGTATTGTCACATACATGTAACTGATAATCGGCTAATGGTTGATTGTATAAATGAATGAAATGTTTTCAAAAGAACAAGAAAAACTTTTCCTCCCTTTCCCCCTTGGGCCTATGAACCAAACGGTAAACGAAAGAAGAGGAATAAAAGTGGAAAAGGAAAGGAAAGAAAAAAGAGAGGAATGAACCCTGAATCTTCAGCATATATTCAGGATTGAAGCTCAAAAGCTGTAGGCTTATCTTTAAATTTTAAATTTTCCCTATGAAAGTTTAATCTTGCTGTTGGTCATCCATGATAAGAATTTTGAGATGATATTCTTAAAAGCTAGCTTATGGGCTATTATTCTGTTTAGATGCATTTCTTAGTTGTTCTGATGGGCAGGTTTGTATCTCCTTTTGCTTGGCTCTCACGATATGATTTCGTTGTGGCAGGGGTGACACCAGCCGAGAGGCTTTTGGAAATGTACCATGGGAAGTGGGGACGATCTGTAGATCCCGTATTTGAGGAGCTGCTATACTGAATTGATTTAAGTATCAATTCAATATTAGGTGGTGTCCTTTGTGTATACACTTCTCTCCAATTTTGGGTGTATTCTCTGTTGTTTCTGTCCTGAACTCTTTTCATATAAGGCCCACTGCCAGATTGTCTTGCAGGAATAAATTGTAATGTGTATGCTTGTGATGAAGCTTTTCATCCTGCTCTTACCTGTTACTATTAGATCAAACTTCTTTCAACTTGATTCAATATTGTATGTTGAGCTTGTGGTGAAAGTGAAGAAATTAAATTGAATTTCCAAATACAATTACAGTAAATGGTGGCTTACTTGTGTATGCTCTTTATGAGACTTTATTGTAGCTAACTTGACATGTTAATCTCTCTCAAGAACTTCAGGACCTCTCCTATGTTATTCTAGTCTGGAATGCTGTTACTTGCAACATGCTGCACCATTATACCACTAAAATGATTAGGCTGGTATCTCAATTTTTTCATCTGTAAAATGTAGTACACCAACAGGTCTGATCTCCTTTACATCAAACTACACTTAATTAAATTTCAGAATGATACCGTGCCACGAGTAGTGGAATACATTATGGCAGTGTCAGGATTTTATGAGAATGTGGGTGAAATATTAGGTCAAGTACTGCAGATAGATTTATATGTATTGTTTGATAGTGAAGATTAGAAGTCATTTTGAAAAGTTCCTCGTCTTAGAAAAAACCCTAGCAGAAAAAGGCCTGGCAGAGTCTCAAGTGCTCTTGTACTAGGCCGATTTGCATGTAACACCAATTTCTTCACTTGGTCCTAGTCTCCTTCAATCATCTTGTTCAACTCCATATGGGATATTCTTCTTACAATTCCTGTAGTATTTTATCATAATATCTTTGGGAATCGACCTATCATATAAGGTTGTGTTTCAGATCTGTTACCTAGGGTTCCATATCTTCTTGCCCAGATCATGTGTACGTTAACACATGCCATGTGCTCTCCCATTCCCACTACTGTTCTGTTACCCCACCATGTTAGCAACATATGTGGTAAACAGCCCTATCATCATCATCAAATGTTGCAACCTATACCTATCAAACTTAATAGGGGATAAGGATATTTCCAAAACCAGGCGAGTCAAGTATTTCCCGGGCTGTGTTGACTCGGTTGTGCTGGATCTGGTCATTTTCATGCCTCACCCTCTTGTTGACTTATGATTCAGAGATTTCAGCATTAGGAACTTGGATCCTTTCATGTATCGTTTCATCTTACATTTATATCTTTTACGCAATAATAATTATAATTTATATTATATCGTTATCTTATGGTGTTGTACTACAATGTAGTGCATTGTACCAAGATATCTTTTACGCGACAATAATTATAATTTATATTATATCGTTATCTTATGGTGTTGTACTACAATGTAGTGCATTGTACCAAGATACAGGACCAAGACACATGATCTTCATAAGATATATAACTGATACATAGTATTACTTACACCATCAATGTATCAAGCAATGCATCCTGAAAAAAATGAGTAACTTATTTAAATAACTAGAGTTAGAACTACTGTCAAAAGCAGAGGCAACTGGGACTGATTGGTGGGGTGGCTACTTTAGGGAGGGAGGACGTCTTAGCATTATTATGGTATGGAGTATTGATTTAGATACAGACATCTTACCTCTCAATATTAGCACCTAGTACTTCAATGACAGCCTAATTATATACGTCACTGTAAATAAATTAAGTTGAAAACAATGCCCCAACGACAACAATTGTCCAAACCGTGACAAAATCTTTGGATCTTATTCATATTTTTAGTCAATATTAATAAAATATATTATTTTATTACATCTCTAAACAAAATTGTAAACGAAACTGGCTTATGTTGCTTTTCTACTTAGTCATGTGATGGCTATTAAGTATTAACTCAGCTGGTATAACCTCTCTTCTCTCGAAGGGGATGTAAGGGTTTAAATCAAGAGTATTTATTTGACCAAAAATAAAATAAAAAATAATTACATGTATTTTTTTATTTTCAAACTTTTCAGAATACTTGAATCCAACATCTTTAATGTGTCTTTGGTTATGCAATGTTTAAACTCATCTTATTATCTCAACAAATAGATGAATTTATGGTTTATTTGCCAATTCAAAGAAGAATATATGAGTTCACTCCTCTTTCTTTTTATCCATTTTTATTCTCACATGCCTTAATATTTTATGGTTTTATGTTAAAATGGAGAGATTGTAGCATTGGATTCCTACACCAACCATCCAAACAGTCCTTTGTGGGAGCTGGAAAGAGAAATAATACTCACATGAGAAGAGACAAACTGACAGAGACACTCATGCCTTCAATTATTGTAGCTTCCTACCTCTCACCTTATTTTATCTCAATCATGAATCAAACTTGCATATATATTACTCATATACTACCTAATTTGATCTCTTAATCACTGGTATAATCTTTCATATTTATATGGTACAACTGTATAATCATCAAATACCAAAACTGCCCTCATTGACAGTGAGATAGGATTTCTTTGGAACACAAACATGTGATTTTACTATTGCTGCATTATTTCGAATAAAATTTCCAAAAAAGTCCTCCAAGAATATGAAATCCTGATGATCTAATTGCAACTTATTGTTAATAGTAATACTCCAAATAATCAAATATAAATAAATTAATGGGAAGACTGGCAAGGATGGATTGGTAATTTTAGAAAGAATGAAGCTGGATAGAGAGATGACTTAGCAAACACAACACAAGGGTTCTTGTTGTCTCTATCCAAGTCCAGCTCACAACTCTTGTTGGGCTTTTTGACATGGCCTCCTCCTCCAGACACGCCCACATGAAAATTATTAATTCCATTTTCTCTCACACATTATTTTTTTCTTCCTAGAGAGAGAAAAAAATATCAGTGTCCCAATCAAAATCCTATCCCATCCACCACTACAAAAACCCATCCCCCCATTTCATCCTCCTATGCCTCTCTTTTCTTTGTTTTTGTACCCCCAATTGGCATAACAAAATTACACCACATTTTCATCCAAAAATGAGAGAAATTCTCCACATCCAAGCTGGCCAATGTGGCAACCAAATTGGTGGCAAGTTTTGGGAGGTTGTGTGCGACGAACACGGCATCGATGCCACCGGAAATTTCGTCGGAGAATCTCAACACCAAATTGAAAGGGTGAATGTGTACTACAATGAGGCTAGTGGTGGCCGGTATGTCCCAAGGGCCGTGCTTATGGATCTTGAGCCCGGTACAATGGACAGCCTACGTACTGGGCCCTACGGTAAAATCTTCAGGCCCGATAACTTTGTTTTCGGCCAAAATGGTGCCGGAAACAATTGGGCCAAGGGACATTACACCGAAGGAGCTGAACTAATAGATTCAGTCCTCGATGTTGTCCGTAAAGAGGCAGAAAATTGTGATTGCTTACAAGGTAAAATTTAAATTTTAGTGATTGAACTAGTAAAACATTAACAATGTACGTACAAAAACACATCTTTCAATGATTGACAGTTAATTATATTTTGATCACGAGAATAATGTTTATATTTGTTCATTGCATTATAGGGTTTCAGATTTGTCATTCGCTTGGAGGTGGGACGGGTTCGGGAATGGGGACTCTGTTGATATCTAAGATCAGAGAAGAATACCCTGATCGGATGATGTTGACATTCTCCGTCTTCCCTTCACCTAAGGTCTCCGACACCGTTGTGGAGCCTTATAATGCCACCCTCTCCGTCCACCAGCTGGTTGAAAATGCAGATGAATGCATGGTTCTTGACAATGAGGCTCTCTATGATATCTGCTTTCGCACGCTCAAGCTTACCAATCCAAGCTGTAAGTCAACTATTACTTTGCACAAGACAGTCCCATATCTTAGTTTGCACCAATTAATGGTCCACCGTATATACACACAACCACAACAAGCCTACCAATATACTGTATTTCATAAGGTGGACTCTCTTCATCAATGAATTGCAATCTTAACCATCAATATTACTATTATAATTCTATTCCTTCGAAAATGATGGGTCAAATACAAGTGGACGGGTGACAGGAAATCCACATGGTCCCACTTTAAAACATGCGTCGTTTTCATCGGTTTCAATTATTTTTCATAATTCAAAGAATGGCCGAATTCTTATGCAATAATTAATATGATAAAAGTTTTTTTTTTTTTTTTTTAAATATTTACTTCAAAATGATAGAGGTGTTTAGTTAAAGTTTTGTTAGAATCAGCACACAAACCTTATTTCAATCTATCCCCATATAGCACACAAAACCTCCATAGAATAAAATAAACTTAAATAGAATCATTGCAACACATCTAGAGGTATAAAAATGAGAATATGTACAGCATGCTGTAATTTCATAGTATGTATAGCTTTGATAAGCCGTGACATATACATATATATATATATATACATGCTGTAATTTCATAGTATGTATAGCTTTGATAAGCCGTGACATATATATATATATATATATATATATATATATATATATATATATATGGTGCAGTTGGAGATTTGAACCACTTGATCTCAACAACCATGAGTGGAGTGACATGCTGCCTCCGGTTCCCCGGTCAACTCAACTCCGATCTCCGGAAACTCGCCGTAAACCTCATCCCCTTCCCGCGCTTACACTTCTTCATGGTAGGCTTTGCGCCCTTGACTTCACGTGGATCACATGATTACCGTGTCCTAACAATCCCAGAACTCACCCAACAAATGTGGGACGTAAAGAACATGATGTGCGCCGCGGATCCACGCCACGGCCGCTACCTCACCGCCTCCGCCATGTTCCGTGGCAAGATGAGCACCAAGGAGGTGGACGAGCAGATGATCAATGTGCAGAACAAGAACTCATCCTACTTTGTTGAGTGGATCCCCAACAATGTGAAGTCAAGTGTGTGTGACATCCCGCCCACCGGGTTGACCATGTCGTCCACGTTCATGGGCAACTCGACGTCGATTCAGGAGATGTTCCGGCGAGTCTCCGAGCAGTTCACGGTCATGTTCCGGCGGAAGGCTTTCCTGCATTGGTACACTGGGGAGGGAATGGATGAGATGGAATTCACAGAGGCGGAGAGTAACATGAATGATTTGGTTTCGGAGTATCAGCAGTATCAAGAGGCGGTGGCAGATAATGAAGAAGAAGAGTATGATGAGGAGGTGATGGAGAACTAGCTAAGAGCTAGGGTTTGATCATTCATGGTTTGAAAATTAAATTTTAAGTTGTATATGTTGGGGCTATATATATATATATATATATTGTCATTGCATATGCTTAAATCTTAATTTGGTGGTAATTAAATAAGGAGATGATTGATTTTCTTTTCTTTTTTTTGTTTCTTTTTTGGAATATTGGATTCTCTATATATGTTCCATTTTGTATAAGTTTTACACAATATTTTGTCTGATGGGTTGTTTAATTGTTGTATTTAAATATGTCTATATATGTTGTCTCTCTTTATTAATTTTTAATAAGATGTCTCAATATCTTTCTTATTTTATTTTTTAATAAGAATTATTACAAATGAATGGTGTTAATGGCTCGTATTTATCATTTAATAGAGTCCAAATCTCATCATTTCAAAAAAAATGAAGTTGACCAAAATACTGACGTGGACATGGAAATTAAAACACTGTTTACCCTCACTGACATGCACTTTTATTTATATAGGTACAACTTTTTATGCATGGAGGTACCATTTTTTATAAAACAGGTACCACTTTTATTTACATAAGTACCACTTTTTTGTGCAACACAAAAAGTGGTACCTAATGACAAAAAGTGGTACCTGCATGCACAAAAAGTGGTACCTATGTGTCCAAAAGTGATACTTCAATGAGGGTAAAGAGTGTTTTTTCATGTTTTCATTTTTTTTGAAACTATGAGTCTTTCGCTCCAAATAATAAATATGGACCATTAATACCATTTATATGTAATAATTCCTTTTTAATTAATAAACTACATTAGAGTTCGTGGAACAGGTAAAAGGGAACAAAGCAAAAACTCTTTAATATAATGTCAACTAACTAAAATTGAGTTGGTAATTAACAATTAGTTAATTACAACTCAAAATATTATCTTTCTTATTTTAAAAATAATCTAAATCAATTAGAGATCTAAACTTCATCACTAAATTAACATGTATAATGACATGTATTTCTTTTTTCTTTTTTCTTTCCAAAAAACATTATGTACAGAAAAAAATGTAGTTTCGAATGAAACTTAAATTGAAATTTTCATACTGAGATATTGTTGCAACTTAATGTCAATGGGATGTCAATTGAATTTGAATGATTTTATTCACAATTTATGTATCATTTTTAAATTAAAACACATCATCTAGTGTGGAGCATTTAGAAAAAAACAGGGAGTTCACCATGAAATGATTAACGTTATGGTTGTAACTATAACTCAAAATAACAATTTTTATTAAAATATTATATAAAAATGAATGGGGTACTCCATACTCAATAATTCAGAAATAAGTTTTGTGTAAGGTAGAGTTGAGAGTCCAACACATTCTATGGTTGTCACACTTTCATTGTACCGGCTGAATTTCTTTAACAATTATATGGAATTGCCATTTGGGCCGCCTAAACCTACTAAATATGAAAAATCAAAATAATTTGAAATCATTTAGACCACCAATCAAAAATCCCGAAAAGGAAGAAAAGAATAAGAGAGCAAAAATAGAATATATGAGGGGGTTGGTCTAAGTCACATAAAGTGAAAACGAAAGTGGGAGCGAATTTGAAAATGAGTGTACGAAAATAACAAAATTAAGTGACAAACAGCAAGATTGGAAGCGAAAGTAAGAGCAGTTGAAAAAGATTGTGTGACTTAAAATTTAGTGTTACTCATATTTTACGAAAGATGCTCACTTATAAATTTGAGCATATTAAAACTCGTTGGAAAATACTTGAAAGTACAACAATTGAAACAACAATTCTAGAATCTTTTCAATTACTCATATGAGAACTATAATCTTTAGTTCCAAAACTGAATTATTTCCTCCTCTTTGAGAAGAACTTACAGTTTAATAAGAAAAATGCTTAATCGAAATGAATCTAAAGTTTTCTTCTATGATTCATAGGTATAAACATTTCCGAATTAAATTAATTTCTTCTCAACAAAATAAGCGCCAATAAAAAGCCTACCTAATGAAGAGATTGATAGTGGGGGAGTGCATGTTACTCCGTATTTATAGCAATTTTGTGACATTAGTGGCCCAAAGCCCAAGATATGACAATGATTGGGCCATCCACTAACATACCCACTTTGCTTACCTTGGACTTTCAATCTCTGTGTGAAGCCTGAAAGTACTACTCATATTTATAAATGACCTCCTAAATTATCAATTCAGCAAACAGCTCCATGTACTTTTGTAGTACTCTTCACGTTATCATGAAGAAAAAATTACGGAGTACACGATTTTGTCCCATATATTTTTAGTTGTGGACTAAATTACTCTTAGATTTCTGTACCACTGTAATTATTTTTACCTTTCATACTCTGTCTTATACCCAAAGAGGAAGTAAAACAAAACTCATAAAAGGTCAAAGGTGTCATAAATTCATTATAAAAGTAAGGGTAGAGGGGGAGGGGGGGCTCTCTACCCTAGCAGCATCTCCAATCCAAAGCTAAAAGACTCGTTATTTCTAAAATATAGCGAAATATAGCGACGAGATTTTAAAAGAGACTCTTCAATGCAATGTTAAAAGGACTGTTAATTTTTAACTTTGCTAAAAATTTTGCCAATTGTAACATAAGAAATAGTTATTGCTATTTCAGAGAGAGAAAGAAAGAAGGAGGAAGGGGTTCTCAGATTTTGCATATATATATATATATATATATATATATATATATAAAGATCATAAAAAATTTCACCAAATAATATTTAGTTTGCAAAACAAGAATTACAGACCTTGATTAAAAAAAGTAAACAAAAATGGAACCTCTTTCTCAATGGGTTTGGTGAAGAGATTCTCGGCCTTTGATGTCAAGAAGGAAGAGAGCAGAGGTCGCCCTTGCCATGGATTAGTTGATTTAGAAAATAATTACAGAGCTTCATTAGTTGATTTAGAAAAAAAATTAAATCAAAATCCATACATACAAGTTAGCAGTTGCAGAGAGAGAGAGAGAGGGGCAAGCTTGAGAGTTGAGAGCCAACAACTGGAGCTTGCGAACGGCGAAACTGAACTGAAACAGCGAGGGGGGGCAATTTCAGAGCTGCGAGAATAGAGATGGAGGCGATTGGGGAGGCTGAAATGATTTGCCCTAAAAATATATATATTTTTAATAATAATATAATCAAATATATATAATATACATATATATATATATATATATAATATATAAATTTCCTAAAAAGAAAAAAGAATTATATAATAATATAATCAAATAAATAAAATTTATACATATATATATTTGGGTCCTTTTTTGACCAAATATTTTAGATTTTTGATTCTTTTTAATTAAATTTAATTTTAGTTTCCTTCTACGGTATACAATTTGACTTGGAATGTGCCTAATATTAACATTGCTGATGCAAATATATATGGCGAGAATGGTAGTTGAAAAAGAATAATGGTTGTGTTAAAAAATTACATTTTCATCATTAGAGCAGAATTGCTAAAATATAGCATTTTGACACTGTAGTACTGTCAAAATATAGATTTGGCATTTAAACTTGACATTTTTACATTGGAGCTCTAAGAATTCCAGTAGTACAGTATTTTGTAAGGACGTATGGCCATTTTGGTAAATTTGTAGGGCACAACTGACCTCTCTGACCCTACCTAGATTAGTCCTAGTCCACTGCACAATCTGAACTCACTCACTACTTGCAATCACAGTCCTTGTAGTCTTGACTACTAACTCTACAATAAATTATTATTAAAAAGAAAAAGGTCTTCCCTTTCTTCGATCAAATCTCATTTTTTTACCATTTAACTTTACCTTTTGTCTTTAGTTTTCCTTTTCTCTTTCCTAAACTCTCTCCCCTTCATTCCTATTTGATTTCAATTCTAGGGTTTCTTGCTTTTTCTTTCTTTCTTTCCTTGGTGTGTCCAAGAACAGCTAACAGTTCAGCAACGGTTAGCATGTTATTTGAGTAGCTTCAGATTTTCAACATTCTTTGCCAGTAAGCTCTTTTCTATGTTCATGTCAGTAAAATTGTTCATGCTCAAACATTAATTCCAGTTTTCTAGCTTCAAAATTAGCGGCCTTTGTTGTCTTTTCTTTCTTTCTTTGGTCTAGAGGTTTCAAAATCTGCTCTTTCCTTCTCTGGGTTTTTCATATTCAGAGAAAAACCCTTGTAAAACCCTTGTGTGTAGGTGATGGTTGAATTTCTGGTTCAGATTTAGGTTTTCAGTAATTTCATTAATTGGCATCTAGGAATTTCTGAGTTGTAGATTTAGGTTTTAAGACGACACACAAGTACATATATTGGCATCCAGGAACAAAGTGTTTTGTGTGAATATTCACCGACTAAATGCATGGATGGAAGAGAAGGCATGGCACTATCTGGGTTTGCTCCTTTTTACCTCCATGGAGGGGCTAGTGGTTCTGGGTCTGGAACAGACACTGATTTGCATGTCCCTCCTGGTTTCAGGAACTTATCCAACAACCCTAGTAGTTCATTTCAGATTAATGTAAGGGGTAGCTCTGTAGAGTCAACAATTCCAGTAGAAAACCCATCACCCAATTTTCCTCATGGCCTTAACATTGGTGTGGCCTCTGGTGTGCCACTGAGCGAGCCAGCGAAGAAGAAAAGAGGGAGGCCTCGAAAATACAGACCCGAGACTGAGGGTGCCAATATGTCCCTGGGACTGTCTCCTATGTCATTGGCCCCTTCATCAGGGTCAGTCACACAAATCCTGAAGGTTAGAGGTCGGCCACCTGGGACCGGTAAGAAACAGCGATTGGCGTCTCTTGGTAAGTTCTCCCATTGAAGTTGAGTTGCTTTCAATGTGTTATTCTGGGTTGCATATGAGACCACCTTAGCAACAGTTTAACTTTTAAATGTGTTTCTTTGTTCTCAAGGATCCATTCTGATGGCATACAATGCATTTTCGTGACAGTAATTTCTAATTTATGTTTTACATTGCAACTGTAATGCTGCCCGGCTATAGGGATGGATTACAATAACCAAATATAATGATATTCTCAGTGATGTAAATTCCCCCTGAGGTTTATTAATCTTCTTGGTATTATTGGATTCATTAATTTAGTATTTTGTTAACATTTTTTTGTTGGGGTGAAGCCATGGGGTTATATTACTTTTCTGAAACATATCTATTTGGTACTGGAAGTCACTGATGACTGCCATAGACCCCTCATTGACAAAGACATCAAGCGTAGCAGAATCTTGACTTATAACTCCTTTGGAATCCCTCATCTACTAATTCGTCAAATGGTAGCAAAATTTTGATCTAAACATGCCCCAAAATTGTCAAATTTACATTAAAAAGGTCTAATGACATAATAGGTACCTCGATTGAGGTATTTTCATTCGAAGATTCAATTTTTACTTACTAAAAAATTCTTTGTGACTTCAAAGAAAACTCAAATAAGTTTAACTAAAAACTCTCATTTTCTTTCAAAGATTCAATATTTATACAATAAAAAGGTCTAGTGACTTAAAAGGTACCTTAATTGAGATATTTTCATTCAAATATTCAATCTTTACTCATTAAATCACTCTTCGTGACGTCAAAGGGAACTCGAATAAGTTTAACCACTGTGTATTATATAGACACAAAAGGCCTTGACATACAGAGTTTCATGTTTGGGAAACGGAATTATGTCAGTCTCTGCATCTTTGGGGACAAGATACCAATATTCTGGATGTTGATTTCTTAGTTTTCTGGTTTAACGATTCCTCCTTCAAAGTGGCAAAAGTTTGTTAACTCCCCTAACTGATTTTTTATTTACTGTTAACCATGTACTCTGTATATTGTAAATTTTTGATATATTTGGTTGTTGGAGAATATAATGTAACTTTCAAATGATTAATTGTCTTTGTCAGGTGAATGGATGAGCGATTCAGCAGGACTCGCTTTTACACCACATGTCATCAATATTGCTGTAGGAGAGGTATGCCAGATCCCTAGCAATTTGTAACCAGTTTTAAAATTGGCCACTGCCCTTAATGATGTCACTAGGCCTTTCTGTCATAGATTGATTATTTGGGGTTTGCTACCATTATATGTAGATTATCATTTGGGATGAAAATCAGTCATATGGCTGTTGCAGAAAATTATTGTACGATAGCATCTATTTTGGTCCATTACAGTGTAAAAGCTGTTCTACATCATGTGAAATTTTATATTAATTTACACTATAAGAGCTCAGTGTAGCATTTAATAAATTTAAGTCTCCAGATAAAAGTACATATCTTCTGTGTATTTAGCTGCATCCAATGAATATTTGACTATATTTGATTACATTTCTAATTTCAGAATGTTACTTGTGATTTTAGTGATAAAAACTAGTGCAGAGGTGAACAATAGGAAGTGGCTTGAACTAACATTGACTTTGATACCAAACTACGATTCATTACGATGGATGAAAAGGAAGCCTGATGGTTGAAGTACACGGCCTGGCCTGAGTGACCCAATATTGGGTTTTTCTGGCTAGGATAAGATTGCGAAATATGTTAAAACTAAAGTTAAGTGAGTGCTTAACTGGATGTAACCAGCCATGGTCTAAGGGGTCCACTTCTGAGCCAGGATTTCAACTTATATATACGCTTCTATAAATGTATATATAAGCATTGCACACACACACACACACACACACACATATATGTTTATTAGTATATATATGTTATACTTTAGTTTATGTTTATGTATAGAAGTATATAAACAATTTCGGTTGATTGATTAGTGGTACAGCACTTGATAGCATGCTAAAAGGTCCCATCAGTTGCAACCCCATGGGCCTTCGCAACCTTGTATTTATGTATGAAAACAAAACCTTTTTTTCTTTTAAAATAAAAATCCAGCCCAACCCTAGAGCTGGCTCAGAGGTTACCTGTGGGTCAGGCCTGGGTCTTCGACTAAAACTTCAGATTAGCCTGTAGTGGTCCAATTACTATTTATAACCTGACAGGCTAGGCACGGGCTTAAGAATTTAGAATTGGTCTGGTCTTCTTTTCCATATCCATTACTTAATCATGTCCTTAAATATCATAAATTCAATGAAAATCATTTTTTAAAAATGAAGGATTAGAATTTAGTAAATGCATTCTTCCCCTTCTCTAACATGCATGTCAGTTTGGTTTTTAAGGCGTAAAAAAAGAAAATAAAAAGAAGAGGAAAAGAGAAAGGAAACAGATCAATATTGATTCATATTAATCATTGATTTATACACCCAATTTAGCATTGCCACTGCAACAGGTATTGTGATTTAATATAATGTTTTGAGTAGTATCTTCATAATATAGTGCAAGTCTGGTTTGAAGTTGCCTCTTTCTTCTTTAGAACTTACGAATTTAATGTGGTGAACATCCATAAGCTTTATTTATTCAAAATGTCTTGTCTGCTGAATTACATACTATTGAATTAAACAGATTTTCCTTCACTTTAACATGAACTAGAAAAGAATAAGTAAAGAAGAACAATATTAGATCTCAAGCTGTTGTTTTCTAAAATTCAGTAGAAGCTTGTAATACAAATAGTTAATATGCTCTTCTTCTTCTTCTTTTTTTGTTTTTTGTTTTTTTGTTTGGGCAGGGTTGGGGAGGGGAACAGAGGTTTTAGCTGTTATATGATGGATTAAAGATCTGATTTTGGCATGAATGTTGATCATTATTTTTAAACTCAATTTTTGAATCTTAGTTTATTTGGTGTTGATAAAGAATGTAATAACCCCACTTCTTTGTTTTCGCACTTGTGGATTTTGGCTTACCAAAGATAATCAAGTTATCATCTACTGCAGGACATTGCGGCAAAAATATTATCCTTTTCACAACAGAGGCCAAGGGCTGTGTGCATCTTGTCAGCCAATGGGGCAGTTTCAGCAGTAACACTATATCAGCCTGCATCTTTTAGCGGCACTGTCACATATGAGGTTGAAGAGCTCACAAATTCTTTTCTTTTTTGCATATAGAAAGTTATTACTTTTAGATGCTTTCCCTTTTCTGCTGATATTTAACCAAGGTGTCAATGATTTAGGTCCTTAAATTTGCATATAAAAGCCACATTATGTAGTGACATTATACTGAACCCTGTCAAGTCCTGATCTTAAATGGTATCTAACAATCTAGTACATCTTAGTTTCTATTTTGATAAATTCCTTCTTTAATTCTTATTGTGATTGTAAATTTTATTATGCCCTGCAGCATGCTCAGTGGCATGGCTGAAAAGAATAGGAGAATAACTATGCAATTGGTGATCGCAAAATCTTGGTTTACAAGTCCTTTTTTTAATTAAAAAAAATAAATCAATTTTGTAATTAAAAAAAAATCCTTTTTTTTTTTTTTTTTTTTTTTTCGTTACGAGTATGATTTTTTATAAGGCTAACTCATAGTAATACAGATTATCATATGCTTATATGGCTGATGATATTAAGCTGAACACCTGTGATTCTGCTGTAATATTGTAGATTTACTTTTCCATGCATAAGAAACTTATTGTTGTTCCTTCTTTCCCTTCTGCGAGAATACTATCCAAATCCTTTGTTCTTTTTGTGCAAATGCAACTTATTTGTTTTGACTTCTGTAGGGACGTTTTGAGATATTATGCTTGTCGGGTTCTTACTTGCTTTCTGAAAGTGGTGGTACTCACAATCGAACTGGTGGTCTAAGTGTTTCTCTTTGTAGTCCTAATGGCCATGTCTTTGGAGGAGGAGTGAAGGGCATGTTTATTGCAGCAAGCCCAGTTCAGGTATATACTCTCTCTCTCTCTCTCTCTCTCTCTCTCTCTCTGTCTCTGTGATAAGTAGATTATATCCTTTTTATATGTCCCTTGAACTCACTGCTCATGTTTATATTTGCATCTATCATCTTATTTTGTTTTTGGTTGGATAATTGCTGCATTATAAGGCCAAGCCAAAGTATAGCACTTGAGCTTCACTATAACCTTCTACATGGGCATCTGCCATTTTCTCTTATTTTGATGCTTCCAGTTTCCCTTTTGTGCTGATTGTGCATTAATATTGACAAAATAATACAATTTTAGTTAAAAGAAAACAATTTATTAGCTAGATGGAATTTTTTTTTCAATACCTACTAAATGAGGAATACCTGAAGCAGAAGTAGGTGTTGAATTTAATATAATAATGATAGATAAAATCACCAATAAGGAAGTAGAGGAGACAATGAAAAAAATGCGGGAAAATATAAAACAGTATTTAATGATAATATACCTATAAAGGTTTGGAGAATTTTAGGAAAGTTAGGAATTGAGTGGTTAACAAAGTTATTTAACAACATTCTAAAAGAAGGCATGATGCCAAATAAATGGAAGGAAAGAATAATAGTTTCAATTTGCAGAAAAAAGAAAGAAGGGATAATACAAAATTTGTGGCAACTATAGAGGCACTTAATTAAGGAGTCACACAATGAAACTATGGGAAAGGATAATAGAACAAAGATTAAGGAACGACTCCACGACATTCGATAAGCAACTTGGATTTATAGTAACTATAGAGGCACTTAATTAAGGAGTCATACAATGAAACTATGGGATAGGATAATAGAACAAAGATTAAGGAAGGAATCCGCGACATTTGATAAGTCATACAATGAAACTTGGATTCATGCCAAATCAACAATGGAAGCTATTTCTTAATAAGAAAATTAATTGAAGAATGTAGGAGTAAGCAAAGAGGTCTACATATGGTTTTTATAGTTTTTGAAAAAGCATATAGTAGGGTTCTAAGAGATAATTTGACGGGCGTTATAAAGAAACAAACTAGAGTTTATTTTATATGTGGTGAGACTAGTGAGTTTTCTATGATTGTAGGCTTGCACCAAGGATCAATGTTAAGCCCATAGTTATTTGTTATATAAGTTTAAGATAAAATAACAAGACTTTCAAGGAGACATTCCATAATGCATGTTGTTTGCCGATGATTGGTGATACTGGATGCTTCTATAGGGAAATTTAGCAATAAGATTAGAAATGTGAAGAAATGCCTTGGAATCAAAAGGATTGAGAGTTTGTAGAACTAAAACAGAGTATATGGAATGTAAATTTAATAAAAAAATCGGATCTTGGTAATATAATGAGCACACCTCAAAACAAATGATTATTCAAAATAACGACTTCCAATATTTAGGATTGATAATACAAAAGGATGAGAGATACATAGTGATATAGTGAGTAGAATTGGATCAGAGTGGACAAAATGGAGACAAGTTCATTTTATGTGATAAAAAACAAATTGGTTAAAAGAAAAACTCTATAAAATTGATCTTAGATGATTAGACCAACTATTCTATATGAGACAGAGTGTTGGGTTTTAAAAAAGAAGTAAGAATAACACATTCATGTAATGGAAATGCTAATTTTAAGATGGATGCTCAGAGTAACTAGAAGAGATAAGAGTTACTAAGAAGAGGAAAATTAGTTTTCATTGAAGGTAAGAGATAAGAGAGGACGACCAAAATTAATGCGGAATGAAAGTATTAAAAATAATTTTAAAAAGTTAAATATAATAGAAGGTAAGAGAGTGGGGGCAACCTAAATTAATGTGGGAGAGTACAACCTAAATTAACGTGGAATGAAAGTATTAAAAATTATTTTAAAAAGTTAAATATAATAGGTTAGATCGTGTAATAGACTAGAATGGAAAAAGAGAATTCATGTGCCGACCTCATTCGTACAAGGTTGATGATGATGATGGACATAAATTTTGAGCATTCAAGTATTCAACCAAAAGCTAGTATATTCATTATATAGCAAGCAAATTTTGTGCCTCAAGTAATCAAGGTGGTGGGTTGATGGGAATTGTCTGTATCGTGCATTTGGCTTAGTGGTGGGAACAGGGTTCATGGTACAACTTTCCATGCATGTTTAAGAGTTTTAACCAAGTAATAGACGTCACTTGCTGCAGGTGGTTGTATGCAGTTTTGTATATGGTGGTTCTAAGACAAAGGACAAAATCAAGGTTGGTCCAAAAGACAAAGGTGAGGAGAATTCTGCGCTTGAGCCTCGTGAAAAATCAGCTACACCAGCTAATGCTGCTCCTGGTCAAAAATCAACTCCGAATTCAGCATTGGATGTGTGGCCGCCTGGTTCTCGGCCAGATCTGAGAAACCCTCACACAGAGATTGACCTGACGCGTGGATGATCTAACTTGCTGCCGTAGGCCCAAGGCAATTCTGTGTATATTTGTTGTAAATGAACCGGACCACTCGGATCTGCATACTCCTAAGCTCACCTTGTGTGCCCACCATTAGATGATGAGTAATTTAACATAGTTACACACTGCCCATTTTGAGATTTCAAAATAACCATTGTAGAATATTCTGTGGTAGGTTGCAATTTGATGCATTGTTGTTACCAATCGTTGCAGTTATGAGTGTTATTTCTTCAAATTGAACTGATGCAAATGATGAAGGGTGGTGTTCTTTTGGCCTTCAGATGCTGCTGTGATGCACTTCATTTTCAGTTTGTAAAAATTGACAATGCTAGTATTCTATTTTGGTTTCCTCTTAGAAATTACGAACTTAAAAAATCATTTTTGCGCAACGGATATGGATGAAACAAGCTTCGACGCCAAACTACTGAAAAGAGCAATTTATTTGTTGGCAGTATTTTTCGTTGAAAGCAGCCCAAAGGCATCTTGGAGTCTACAATTCTCATTAATTCTTGATTTTGTTGTATCAAGGAATGTTTAAAGGTCTACTGGGCAAAGAATTACGTTTGTGTAAATTAATTCAACAAACAGGGTTAGATAAATGACTGATAGGATAATTGTGGAATTGGTCACATATAGCAACAAATACAATCCAATCATTCTAAACTGGGGAATGCAAACTCTATTTTGCATTACAAAGTACCTTTTAAAATGTAAAATTATGTAAAGTGGTACTAGGAGACCATGCGCCATGATGAAGACGTGAAGTGTTCACTACAAAGGTAAAATTTGGGCATAGAGATGGTAAGAAACTTTTCTTTCTTCTCTCTACCAGTCTCGAAATCTTTTACCTAAGGTTCCAAGGCCACCAAGATAAAGGCGGTATGATGCAACATTGTTCGAATGACAACTGTCTCATGTGACTGTCACATTCATCACTAATGTGAATGGAACTGAAGAGTCAACAACAAACATGGAGAGTACCAACTCTGTCTGCTATATCACATGGATGAACAGGGTTTCATCAAATTCAATCCATGCCAATGCAGAGCTAAAAACCAACCATTTTTCCTTGAGAGACCTGGGAATGAACAGCACTTCCTACAATTGGTACTCAAATGTGCTGTGTAAGACCATATAATGAGCTATATACATAATTAAAGCTTTAGCATGTATGATCACTATTTTTTCCCACAAAAATTGACATTGTGCCCCTACCACTGCCCCAATTTACTGCAAGTGAAGGAATCCCCCTTGGTTTTTGTTACCGATTGATGTGACAATCATTGAGATAAATACTCTATTAGAACAGAAACTCCATCTTATCTATTACGGCTTACGTCTTTGTTGAATACTATCTATTAGAGCTACACTAAAAACCAATCAGACACTAAAAACCAATCAGACATGATATTATTACTCGTTGGTTTGCAAATGTGCCTCCAGCTCAAGAAGTCGTGTCCTATGCTCCCAATATATTGTAAACTCCAACCTTTTTGGACACTGAATCCACCGAGGAATCACATTAGACTCCGACCTTTTTGGACACTGAATCCACCGAGGAATCACATTTAGACACTTCCCTAGTAAATTTCACAATGCTGTAAAAGACTATAATAAATATAGAAGATAATGACATTTAACATATATAGCAAACCAGCTGTTTGTGTCCAGGATAACAATTTCCCATTTTCTAGTAAAATAATAGTAACATAAATCCAAAACAATTGTTTCATGAGTGACTTCATGCTATGTTTTTAAGCCCTTTAACAGATACACCCTCACTGCACCAAAAACATTAAACACATTGCATGAAAGCAATAAACTGAGAAAATGGAGAAGAAAGTTTGCTTTAGAGTAACCCATCTAGTACTAGTCTTCCTTTTCATGGTTGTGATTGGTTTTACAATGGTTGAAGCTCAAAAGTGCAAGCCAAGTGGCAAACTCAAGGGGAAGAAACCACCCAAAAACGAGTGCGGGGACGAATGCTGTGAAGCCGGCAAGTTTTACCCCACTTACAAGTGTTCACCACCCGTGTCGCGGCGTACAAAGGCAATTCTGACCATTAACAACTTTGAGAAGGGTGGAGATGGCGGCGCACCTTCTGAATGTGACGGCAAGTTCCACTCCAACAAAACACCAGTGGTTGCTCTATCCACAGGATGGTTCAATAAGATGAAAAGGTGCCACAAGAACATCACCATCCATGCAAAGGGAAAGAGTGTGGCGGCAATGGTGGTGGATGAGTGTGACTCGACTGTTGGGTGTGACTCCGTTCATGCATACCAGCCGCCGTGCCCCAATAATATTGTTGATGGTTCCGAAGCAGTTTGGAAAGCTTTGGGAGTCCCTAAAAAAGACTGGGGATGGATGGAGATCTACTGGTCTGAATGATTTCTATTTACTTTTTTGTGATGTTGCATAGCTACTGCAATAAGTCTTGTTTATGTGTTACAAATGCTTTCTGCAATAAATTGCTGTTCAGTTTCCACAAAATACAAGAAAAAACAACGCAGTTGCAGGGCACCTCTATTATAGATGAAGTGCCCTTTTTGGATCACAGAAGGAAGGATATGTACATAATAACCTCAAGAGAAGCAAATTTTGCTAAAAGGTGAACAAAGACACTAAATAATCTACTCAATTTCAGACAGGTCTCAGATAAATTAATTAAAACCTCAACTATTTACATGATCTGTGTCAATTCAGTGATATAAGGATGGACAAGGTATGGTTCAGTTTTAATCAAGAGTGAGAAAATCAATTTCTGCCATTAGGGGTATCAACAAAATCTCATGATTATACACACAACAAAAACTTGAATTTGGAACTGCAGTTTCAACTTTCAACAACTGCTGCAATTAGATTTTTGAGTATAGTATAATTTGTTACAACTTTCATGAAACATAACAGCACAGATCCAGACACCAAAGGCAAGTCAAGCATCGGCTTGCTTTACATTTACTATGATCTCATATAGCCTTCAAATCTCAGCACTTACATGACCCCCAACAACTTCTTGACATCTATCTGCAATAGTGTCAGAAAGTCGGTAGAATCAAATCACCTATATATATATACACCTATATATATATCTATATATATATATATCTATATATATATATATATATATCATTTATCATATGAGCTGCTGCAAAGCAACAGAAAGAAAGTACAACCAAAATCAACTACCAAAATCAGAAGAATGGCAAGTGGATTTTACCTCAATGGTAAGAGGAGAAGTTGTGGGATAATAGCGATCAACAGCATGCCCATTCTTATCAACAAGGAACTTTGCAAAGTTCCATTGAATATCGTCTCCAAAGATTCCCCATTTTCCTGATTTTAGGAACCTATAGAGAGGAGCAGCATCGTCTCCATTCACTTCAATCTGGAAAAAGAACAGCAAGTGAAGCGGAATACAGCATCACACGCCTCAAAAATGAGAGGTTATATCAAGAGTTCAGACTCTTCATATATGGATGTTTCAAAGTGATGGATGAGAGATCATATAATTTTGTTGGTAAGATTAATATAGCTCATTAAATAATGATAGATCTGTAAACTGCTACTGGTATAACATACGTCGGACTCAAGTTGAATAGAGCTCCATCACTTAAAGGGTTCATGAAAATAAAAGAGTTATTTCTAACCAATCCAAAAGGTAGCTGAGTAAACGGAGGCAATGGCTCAGAAACTATATGCCTTATATGCAGCTCTGTCCTCTACTTATCGGTCACATACTTGATTTGTGGGAGATTGCATGCATCTGAAGAGATAAGTGCAAGTGTATTACCCAGCGAATGTCTCTCTTGCACAGGGTTCTTGGAGGGGAAGACACGAGACAGGATTAACCTTTGGTAATATTTTGCACAAAGTGACTGCTTTAAGACTTCCGTCCTCATGCTTGTCAGCTCAAACATTTTCCATTACACCAATCAATGACTCATCACCCAAAGGTATTATAGACTCTAAATGGGTCTGGGACACCCTACGGTAACCGGGGGAAAAACATTTAGCGAACCTTAAGCTGTGAAGACTGAATTAAATGGCAAGTTAGCTACTCTAATTTTTTTAATTTATTCACGGTCAGTATGACATGAAAGAAAAGGTTTATATAAACAGGAGAAACCTTTTTGTGCCATAAAGGTGTTTAGAACTATACTTAGTAGTTAGATTAAGATAACGGTAGACATTGTGTGCTATGGTGGTTTCCTTCTTTTTTGGGGGATTAAGGCAAGCTTTGTGGAAGATTGACTCTTCATTTACCTTATCAAAGACGGGAAATTCTGATTTGAACCTACTGCAGACAAAGTCTAAGATCTGATCATTGCTTCCTGGTTCCTCCTCACCAAATTGATTGCATGGAAATGCTAATATCTCCAAGCCTGCACAAAAAACAAAAGAAAAGAAAAAACAAACACATATGCTTATTAAATCAAACAATTATCATTTAGTTTCAACTTTATGGAAACATATTAGCTTAGTCAAATAAAATTTCATATCAATCCTGATGCCTCTGTCGATAAGAAACATTTTATGATTTACACAGAGAGAAGCAAATTTCTTTTCTATGCTTTGCTACCATGCCATAGAACCATAATTATTACCGTGTGCTTGTTGAAATGAACAAAAATGGCATGCATTAATTTTACCTGGGAAAAAAGAAAGAAAAGAAATACTCCGTAACATTCATTCATAAAGCAACTACAAAAGGTCCAAAACACAAACCTTGATCTTTGTACTTCTCATATAACTGATTCAGTTCTTTGTAGTTGGAGTTGGTCATTCCACTGTCATAATTAACGAAAATAAATGACTAATAATAAACTTATTAGGGCAGATGATATATTGAAAATGAATTGAAGAACCAGGTAGAAACAATAGGAGAATCCGAGTCCCATAAGTTTTCCCTTAACAAATTTTTATAATTTAAGAACTAATGAAGTTTGGTGATCATTTAATCAGTAAAATCTATAAGAGAAGATGAGCCCCACAATTTTTAGCAAACCAAAGTTATATAATTTGAGATGCAGTAAGGTTCGGACATTCAGTCTCGGGAGCCCAATTAGAAAAGAATCACAAAGATGAATAAGAAAGTATGGAGAAAAAGAAAAGCAAATGGGCTATACCATTTGGAAGCAACATTAACGATCAGTAGGACTTTTCCCTTGTAAATGCTAAGATCTACATCATTTCCTTTAGCATCCTGGTTGCAAAAGGAAGCATAATATATGAATACTTTGGTTCATGATATTAAAAAGGAAAATTCTTAGTACAGATGTCCAACAAGTCTCATAGATCTGACCATAAACAATTATTTCAAAAAAACAGAATCACTTTTATGAGGAGTTGCTTCAAAGATTACTTCTTTGAGGAGAAGATGATAACAGTTTCCAACTTCCTTCAAAAGATTTAATAAAAAAAAAACATTAAAATAAAGTACTCTATCCGATTCGTAGTTGGAAGTCTAAATTGGAACTGCATTGATTCTGCGCGAGGAATAAGAACTCTCTTTCCCCCTTATTCTCTCTCTATGACTTTCTTAATGAGCTAGAGATTTAAGTAATGTCCAAATCTAACATGTACCAACATAGGAGTTCATTAATCCGGTGACAACACGAAGAGCATATAGTTTGAACTCTGGCAGAAAAAAGTTAACACAGATTCTGGCCTTTGAGATGAAACATTTACTGCAGGATGATGAGTTTAATGATTCTTTGGTGCATTGATAAAATCAGGTTGCCAGGCATGGGAATGCGAGTTCGAGTTCAATAGTATCTACTTCGCACAAATAATGCAAAGATCAGGGTTATATCCAATTAGTCCCTCTCAAAACCCTTTAACAACGAACCAACACCACTCTTTTGGAAAAACACTTGGAATTTCCCAAGCCAAAGTTAATAAACTAGTGGGTTAAGAATCATTTGTGTGTTTCATGTATCTCACAACAAATCTGAGTCGCAAATTGTCAGCAAGCACTAATTATGGGCAAATTGACTTCTAACTTTTTCTCTCTTTTTTCGACGATGGTGGTGTCGGCCCTTTTAGGGAACCCAATAATCCACCACTGGGCACATGCGGTCCCCCGTCCCACATGCACCAGGCAATTACCGGGAAGATTCCCCGGGGTGGAAGAAATAGAATTTTCCAAACTAAGCATGTGAATAAGAATATGAAGTTGAAGTTAATTCTCAACTGTTCATACTATCAAATACTCTTATGTCTCTGTCAGACAAATGCATAACGAGTCCTCATTTCGAACCGGAAGAAGAAAAAATAAATTAAAATAAATGAAAATAAAATTTTCATGCCTACAAACAGATATATACAGTTTCTTCCAAAAGTAAAAGGATAACATGAATGTCTCAGCTGTTCATTGACAAATACACACACTGTGGAGGGAAAAAAACTCCCTCCAATAAAAAACACACACGTCACCACTACCCATATCTACAGGCCAAGGACATATAAGGCCCATCATGCTCAAGCCCAAGTTGAGGGTATTTACAGCCCAAGACCATTCCATCAAGGCTGAATCAAGAAGCCATCAGCCCAGCTTGTCGTCAGCCCAGATATGAGTATTTAACATCCGGCCTGTTACCCAAGCCCAGCCGGATCAAAATATATTCAGCCCAAGAATGCACAAATCTTACCATTTGAAGAATTTACCATAGAAGGAAAATTCGGATAAGAAGTTCTGTACAAGGCAAGTTCTATGTATGGAAAATTCAACAATGGAAAGAACTCTATTAGAAAAGAATGGTTATATAGAAAGAATTGGAGGGCAAGCAACGCGAGTCCTACCATAATTCTGCAATCTTTTGTATATAAATAGAGGCTAAGACCTCCAATAAAGGATCAAGTAATTCCACACTTCTCTACACATTGTTCTTATTTATTTTTATTGTTTTTGAGTGAGTTGTTTTATTTTTCTCAGTCATTATTGGTTGAGCGAAATTTTGCACCTACACTTTAGCGCCGTTTGTGGGAATCGTATAGAAATATACTCCCACTTGTTCTTCCTTTAATCGTGTCTGGAATGTCAAACGGAGAGTCAATAATGAATCAACAGATAGAATTGATGCAAAAGATGCGAGAAGAGTTCTTGCACCAATTTGAGACACTCCGGCAAGCGAACGATACGAGTGTCGCCCAGATAGCTACGCTTCAGCAGCAGACTCATACGCTGCACACGGCCATGGCCAGGCTAACGCCACAACCACCACCAGGCGATGCTGCGGCACCACCTCCCACCCGGAATTTAGCTCCGGTTCACGAGCCTCCAGCCAACGAGACACCACCCAACGGGGCTTGACCTAGTGAGGTTCAGCAAAAGCAAGGGACGAGGTCCAAGGCGGTTGCTTCGGATAATCTCCCGCATCGCACTCAGGACGAACAGGCCGAGTCCAGCCATAGGCTTACGGTATGGTCCAATGGCGTTCCGGATGGCGCACGTGTACAAGATGCCTTCGACGAAAAGAAGCTCTTGAGAGTCCAGACACCAGCCGAGATGGCTAGAGAGCACAAGAATTCCTTGGTCAAGACCCCCTTTACTGACGAGGTGTACCTTGTGGAGAGGCCGAAGAAGTTCACTATGCCATCCTTCACCCAGTTCGATGGGGCAGGAGACCCCTCTCGGCATTTTGATCATTATGCGCAAAAGATGGCACTGGACGATCATAACGATCCGTGGATGTGTAATGTTTTTCCTACCAGTTTAACCGGAGCAGCGTTAGAATGGTTCAGGAATAGGCCACACAAGTCTATCCCTGACTATGAGACCTTGTGCACCATGTTCTTAGCCCAGTATTGCGGAAATAAGAAGCAGAAGAAAAGTATCGCCAGCCTTTTCACCATAAGGCAAAGGAAGGGAGAAACTTTGCAAGATTTTTTATCCAGGTTTAACATGGAGGCCTCGGAGATAGCAGATTGCCATCCTGCCACGGCAATCGAAACGTTTAAGTTGGCGATGATCCAGGGAACCAAGTTTCACACATCCTTAGTCAAATATTCCCCCCCGGATATGCAGACTTTGAACGCTAGGGCACAAATCTACATCCGGTTGGAGGAAAACGTAGCCCACCGTGCACAGCACGCTACCCTCGTCACGGTGGAAAACAAGTCTCGAGAGAAAGCTACGAGCACAAGGATGCAGAAGGTCCCTCATACCGCCACACAAGTCACCCAAGCGTCTGAGAAAAGGCGAAGGACAGAGGACAGGCTTACCCCTCTCCGTACTACCTTGGCGCGCCTATTCCAAGAGAATAAGACGAGGTTCGCAACTCCTCAGCCCATGAAGCAACCCTTGGAGCAGAGGGACAAAAGCAAACATTGCGCCTACCATAGAGATTATGGACATACCACCAATGACTGCAGGTCCCTACAGCGACAAGTAGAAAGCATGATAGCGAGAGGAGAATTGGTGGAGTATCTCGCCACAAAGGAGCACGTCAGACCTCGGGAGGTTAACCCTCGACGGGTAGAAAGCGGTCAGGTAAAGGTTATCCATGCCATACACGGAAGATCAGAGGATGATGAAGAATCTGAAGAGTTGTACAGATCCAGGCTGCGAGAGGCTCATAAGTTACGCAGGTTGTCTTCGGTAAACACAGTTGCACCAGGCAGCATCAACATTGGATTCGGTAACAATGACCTTTCTAGAGTCCAGCGCCCGCATGAGGACCCCTTGGTCATCAGCCTCCTGGTAGCGAATTACATGATCAGGAGAGTGCTGGTAGATCCGGGAAGTAGCGCCAACATCATTACAAAAACAGCTTTTGATCAGTTGGGGATTTCGCCATCATCCATCAGGCCAACTTCCGGCCCCCTAATGGGATTTGATGGTACTAAGGTGAATCCGCTTGGGGTGGTCGATCTATCTGTTACTGCAGCAAAGAGAACTCTAAAGGAAAACTTCGTCGTGACAGAGATTCATCCATCTTATAACCTCATTATGGGAAGAGGTTGGATCCATCGTATGAATGGAGTCCCTTCTACACTTCATCAAGTAATGAGGTGTTTATCCCCGGATGGCAGGGAGGTCATCGACCTCTAGGGAGACCAGGTTGCTGCCAAAGAATGTTACATGCTAACGCTACACGAAGCAAAGAAAGCGTCGAAATCACCTCAGTCAGAGGCGAATCCCAAAGACGAAATCAAATAGCAGCTACAGTATCCTCTGCCTAAGTATCTCAAGGCAGAGGAAGAAGCCGAAGTTGAGGCACCTACCGAGGAGTCCCTCGAAGCTGTAGAGGTAGTCCTCGGAGACCCTCAGAAGATCACCTACATTGGCTCATCTTGCACAGCCGAAGAGAAGGAAGCATTGATCAGGGTTATTCGGTGCAATTCGGATGTCTTTGCCTGGGATCACTCAGATATGGTGGGGATCAATCCTACAGTCTCATGCCATAGTCTGAGGGTTAACCCAGAATTCAGGCTAGTCAAACAGAGGCACCGACGGTTCGCACCTGAACGCAATCGCATAATAGCCGAGGAAGTGAATAAACTGTTACAAGCAGGAGTCATACGAGAGGTGCAATACCCACAATGGCTCTCGAATGTAGTAGTCGTTCAAAAAAAGAATGGGAAATGGAGGGTGTGCGTAGATTATACCAACCTTAACAAAGCTTGCCCAAAAGATAGCTATCCTCTGCCCAAGATTGATCAAATGGTGGATGCTACGACGGGTTATGAAAGGCTCACATTCCTCGACGCATACTCTGGCTATAATCAGATTCCCATGAATCCTGAAGATGAGGAGAAAACTGCTTTCATCACAGAAACGGGCACTTACTGCTACAGAGTGATGCCCTTCGGTCTAAAGAATGCCGGAGCCACCTACCAGCGACTTGTCAATAAAATTTTCAGTAATCTACTGGGCAATACAGTTGAAGCCTATATCGATGATATGGTGGTTAAAAGTATACGGAAAGAGGACCACCCGAAGCACCTCCAGGAGGTCTTTGATACTCTCAAGAGATACAATATGAAGCTGAACCCCACCAAGTGCTCCTTCGCCGTTTCGTCAGGACAGTTCCTTAGGCACGTCGTAAATAAAAAAGGAATAGAAGTAAGCCCAGCTCAGGCAAAGGCACTCATACATAACCAGGAACCGAAAACTCGCAGGGAAGTGCAAGTTCTAACCGGCCGAATTGCGGCTCTCAGCCGGTTCATATCCCGATTATCTGATAAGTATAAACCTTTCTT